CCCTTTGCCTGGCAGTTCTATTCTCTCCCCGGCGCCTCCCATCCCTTGCCTTTTGCGTGTTTCTTTCTCCTCTCTTGCTGAGTTGCTCCTTCCTTCCTCTTTCCCACCCCCAACACACACGCACTTTGCTATTTAAGCGCTCTGGAACGCTACCCAGTGAGAAGGGTGCTTTATAAATGCAAGGTGTTCTTGTTGATATATTGTCTGGCAGTTCTTTCCTCTCGTCCTGCTACTGCCGTGTGGTTTCTTTCTCTCCCTACCCCCACCCCACAGACACACACACACACACACATCACCTTTCCCTCCTGGCAGTTCTCCTCTCCTGTTAATTATTTTTGTATCTGCTGTGTGCTGAGCTGCTGCCAAGTCAGAAAAGGATCTGATGATTTGGATAGGCATCGAAACAAAGAGTTGCCCAGCGCAGCAGGACTGCGGGTTGATTTACCCCATCAGTTTATTACAGTATCAGTTTATTGCAGACTTTTTATTCTGTCATGTCTATGAGGGGAGGGAGAATCCTGTTAAAATAACAGTTTCTCTCCACATGTAGACCATTTCGAGCCTCTTCCTTGTCTTTCCCCTCCTCCTCCGAGATGTAAAATGGTAACTTTGAAAGCACTCTCCCATAGTCATCGTCTGACTTTCATAAGGGTTGTATTATTTTTATTGCAGTGACATTTGGTAGACTGAAAGGGAAAATGTTGTGCTCGCTTGTGTTTCTACAATTGCAGAGTGATGGCTCCCTCTCTTGGCAGGTGGAAGCTGCTCATGTTTTATGGGAGGCCGGCTTTTTCACTAATCAATGCCAGTAATCTTGCAGAAGTTGCTGCTATAATATTTTTAGATTGTAATGACTCTTCTCTTCCATGACAGCACTTTTATTAAATAAGAGAAATTCTGGTTAGATTTACATTCCCTTATAGTGTAGAGACTGAATAATTTCCATATGCTAGAACCATGTTCTCGGGAACATTCTTCCCTCCCTCATTTGTGCTGGTCAGCATGGCTAGTAATGTAGCACTGTGTTTGAGATACCATCCTTCAAATTAGACTATACAATTCCATTTGTATAGCGCCTTTCATGTCGGGAAGACATCCCAAAAGCCGCCTGAAACCCTGGTCCATGCCTTTGTCACCGCTCGGCCGGACTATTCAAATGCCCTCCTTGCCGGTCTCCCCTCCACTACCATCCATAAAATCCCGGTCATAAAAATCTCTGCCGCCCGCATTCTTACCTGCACCAAACTCCGCTCCCCAATTACCCCAGTCCTTGCCAGACTGCGCTGGCTGCCTGTCCCAGAGAGGATCGACTTCAAGATCCTCACCCTTGTCTTCAAATCCCTCTGCACCCCCTACTTTTCTGACCTCTCTCACAACAGTGCCCCATTGCTTTCGTTCCACCGGGTCTGGCCTCCTCCGAGTCCTCCGCTCCACCTTCGGCCACTATACCCCGAGGCTCTGGAACTCACTTCCTCACTCCCTTCGCCTCGCCCCCTCTCTTCCTATTTTTCGGTCTCTGCTGAAGACCTTTCTTTTCGAACCGCGCCTTTGTTCACCTTCCTCTCCCTCCCCTGGCTCGGCCCCGGGATCCATTACTGTGAAGAGCGCTGAGACGTCCGGCGTGGAAGGCGCTATATAAATCCAAGTTGTTTTTGGACAGACAGAGTTACGGATCCTAGCTGAGGGTCGGGGTGGGAAAGGGGGGAGGACAGGGGGCAGAGTTCTGGATGATCTGCAGCCTGTGAAGGGAGGAGTTGGGGAGGCCGACAAGCAGTGAGTTTACATAGTCAAGCCTCGATGTAATGAAGCGTGTATGAGGGTTTCGGCGGCCTGCGGTGTGAGATAGTGACGGGCCGTGCAATGTTGCGGAGGTGGGGGAAGGCAGAGCGGGTCATGGTGCAGATGTGGGGTAGAAAGGATAGTTGAGGGTCAAACAAGACCCCACGGTTCCAGACTCACTTAGCAAGATGGAGTGTGCAACCATGGATGGTGATGCGTCAGCGCCTGAGGTGAGGAGGTGCTGACGGGAGCCAATCAGAGGGTCTCGGTCTTGTTGACTTTCGACTGAAGAAAGTTAGCGCTCACCCAGAACTTGATGTCTGACAGCAGTGGAGTCAAGCGTGGAGGCAGAGAGGTACAGTTGGGTGTCATCCGCATACATATGGAAGTTGACCCCATGTCTGTGGATGATGTCACCAAGAGGGAGCATATAGATGTTGAAGAGGAGGGGACCAAGACCAGAGCCCTGAGGAACACTGCATGAGACGAGACGGTCCGGGGGCTTGAGGCGAAGCCGTTTGAGGAGATGATGTGCAGGTGGTGTGAGAGGTACGAGCTGAACCTTTCAAGGACAGCACCGTGGAGGTTGAGGTGAGAGGAGAGACAGTGAATGAGGATAGAGTGGTCGACAAATTAACTGAGTTCTGTAAGTTTTGTTGATCGTTAAAAGATCCAGTGGGAAAAAGAAGAGAATTTCCCCCAGTGTCCTGGCCAACAATCCTCCAGATATATTGTTTTTTGGACCTTGCTAGGGGAATTTCTGCTGCTCTTGCTATGTAAAAACAGTCACTATAATTGACCATAATTGCTGAAGATAATTTGATATGTTAATGCACTATGAAATTTTTTTTTGTACATTTCTGTTGGAGAATCTGTCCAAGAATGGTGAATTGCAAGCATCACATGTGTCGGAGCTACCATACTGAACTGGACGAAGGATTATTTATGAGAGTGCTGATGACTGTTCAAAAGGAAGTCACAAACTTACTCCAAATAGGATTGGGAGAAGAGAAGAATGAGTGTCTACTCAGGAGCGGGAAGGAGAAAGTTTTGATATGACCCAGGCATAGTTCCGATGTATTTGGCCCGATTGGACTAAGAGCCTGAGATTCTGAATTTCGCAGAGCAAATTGTTCTCCTCAGACCACGCTACTTAGACAAAGTAAAATCGATTTCTGTTAGAAAATAATATCTCGGGATACAATATATAATTTGGAACCCGACATGTCAAGCGACTGTCAGGATGGTGGAAGGCGAACTGGATGGACCATGGTCTTCTTTTGCCTAGAAAATTCTTATGTTCTTATGTTGTCTGATTGTTCAGACCAGCTGGCAAATTTGTTGCACATGTGATAACGTCCTCCACAGAGGAATTATAGATATCCATTGTTTGTACACTGACAACTGGAGCCAATCACCTTGAACAGATGAGTTATCATTAAGAGACAGTGACACCATCGTAGATGGTAACTGGGAAAATTCATGCTGATCCACGGGAGCGAAACTGAGCAAGATATCCTGCCTAAGTTCTACTTCAACCCAGCTGTTTGAATTTTGATAACAGATGGTGATAATTGAAGAGACAATTGAAATACCCGGATAAACCCATGGTTGAAGACAGTGATAATTGAAATCTGCAATTTATCTCTGATCATGCTTATTAGAAGTGCAAGGAAAGATGGGAATGAAAGAATGTTTTCATTCCTGAGGGCAGTTAAGAATTTAAAGTTATGGGACAGAAGTGGGATTGGAGAGATTTTTTATTGAATTCTGCAATTTCTTGGAGAAAGGTGTTTTGAATTTTTTTCATAAAATCCTTATTAATAATATCACTTAAAAGCTTGTATTGTTTCCCAGGACATGGACCTCCTGAGGTTTGCAAAGCAGCCATCAGCTCGCTATCTGTGTTGCTATTTCAATTACAGTTTAGCGTGGTTGAGGTTGAGGATGCCCACAGCCTCCAGCTCCCTTTAATAACTCCAATATAACTTCCAAGTGAGGCTTGTTTTGCTGTGACTGGTTATGATTTACAAGGCCGCAGCTGCCCACATCTAACTGTCTCTTATGAAATCCCTGAATCGAGCATTACTCTTTGCATTTGGGTTTTGCCCTGTTCACTTATGGCCTATCTTTCATCTTCTTAGCCTCGAAGTTCTTCATTCCTGTCAACTCTTATCACTGGCTACAGTATTAAATTGTGGCTTATATTAACCTTCAACCTTCTTCCACCCAATTGATTCTCAAAGCAGTCTCTCCTCAGATGATGGATTGAGTTGGTGTTTTTTTCAAATAGGTGGTTCTGAATTCCAGTTCATCACCATTACACCCTTATCAGAGTTGGAAGCAACGATTACAAAAAAGGGAACCTCATTGGAACAATCCTGAAATCTGTGTGATGGATCTGGATTCATTAAGAAAATTAGGAAAGATGTTTGTACCGTGTTCATGTTGTCATATGAGTAAAATAAGTTTATCTCGGGTTATTCTGCAGAGTGCTGTAGTTCCCTGCATTGGAAGTGCCTTTGTACTGACTTTTTATCAGACGCATAGTATAGGCCTCAGTCTAAAATGTTTTCTGTAGATTGGATCAGCGAGATGTGTTCTAGTTTTGGGGTTAGAGGCTATGTGTTCAACCCCATATAGAACTTGACCTCACAGTCCAGATTGATTGTTGTTTTGGTCAGCCATGTATCTGATACATGCGGAAACCCATCACCATGCTTAAGAGCATCCAAACTAAGCTGAGATTTCCATGTATCCCACTCGCACATGGAAATTCCAGAGATAGATTGTTGGAATGGATTGACACTTGTTTGTGATCCTCGGAGGTTCCGTAGTTTGTGGATGTTAAAGATCCCACAAAATATACAGTCACTACACTTTACAGTATATCCTGTGAAGCGCTTTGAGGAGTCTCAAAGACTCAAATGCAAGGATTATTATTATTATCCCATGACACTATTGGAAAGTAGGTGGTGTCCAAAATTGTTCTGGATAAATAGATCATTCCCTTCATGGCTAGGAACTTGATGGGTGCAAAATTGACTGTTCTTCCACATTTGTCCACAACATGTACACTAAACTTTAACAGAAGTTACTTGTGAAGCGCTTTGAGACATTTCAACAATATGGAATCGAGGAAATGAGGAATCGAATATTTTAACAAAATAAATCCATTCAAACGCTAGCAAATAATGAATATTTTTCTTTTTCTTTCCTAGGTGTTGATACACAACAAAAAATCAGAACTGCTCTACCGCATATCCCCCTGGGCAAAGCATGTAGTGCCTAGTGAAAAGAATATTACTTACGACTGGTTACATTGGGACCCAGCCCAGCCATATCTGGTAAGCAACTTACTTGTTTATCCTTCACGTAGTTACTGGGGAGATAAGACCTAATTTAATATGTGGTAAATACTAATGCTGATTTGCTGGAGCCAGGCGAGTCGAAACTGTGCTTGCAGGATATTAAGTTGAACCCTGTCCTCACATAGGAATAGTTAAAACTGTCAGCCCTTCCTCACACAGCTTGTCAGGCTTTTCTGCTATTTTATTAGATCCAGGCAGATCTTTTCCCCGTAACTTTAAATTTCTTCCTGAATAATCTATCAGTTTTTAAAACACCTCAATCCAGCCTGCACCTGCGGCCATATTTTCTGCCTGGGGAAAGGTTTCTGTATGAGTTGTAATGTTGTATGTTAAAGCCCCACAATTTAGGTTGCTACTCCAATGCTGGGGAAGCTCTTGCTGAAACATCCCCATTGAAATAATGCTGAACTGTTAAATGTTTTCAATTTAATAGCCCTGGATCTTCAATGAGGGTTAAATGGAGAATATTTCATTTTAACTTCAAATGGATATAGATCCATCATATTTCTTACAGCAATAATTGGTCCATTGATTAAAAAAAGGAATACTTTGCTTGTTGAGATGCCTTCCCTAATTTCAATGTGGTACAAATGTACTGGATATGCACATCATTTGTCTGTCAGTATGAATTGGATTTCATCACAATAAAAGGAAACGTTATAGTGCATATAGATATTTAGGTTGGCCTTGCACTGACCAGTTTGAGTTCAGGTAGGGACTTGTTCAGCATTTATTTTAGAATTGAACATTTTCAGCCTCCTGTGTATTTTTTATACAAATGGAGAAGACAGTATTATTACGATAGGTTTGAACTCCTAGCTGCCTAATCAGACATTGTTGCCATAGCAGCAGAATATTTCTGCTTAATGTACCTGGATATTTAAAATGTAAGCGTTTTTTCTTGCCATATCTTGGCCGATAAAGGAAACTATCTTTATGATATTTTGAAAGCTTGTGCATTATGCTAGTCCAATTAAATGTATTAGGAATCTTTCCTCTTATGACTTTCTTTGGGGGAGAGAGACAGAGGGGGAAGATAAATTTCAGCTTTGTAAAGTGTTGAACTGAGCCCTTTTAGCCCATGTGGTGGCCTGACACCTATTCACCTCAGAAAGGCTGAACAGCATTTGTTGAGTTTGGGTTGGTGCCTAATTGAGCTATTTTAAGTAGGTGTCTGGACCTAACAAAATCTGACTAAAGGTACATTGACTTAAACCTGCATCGCTCACAATCACAATAAAATCATAATAATAATTTGGTCACTCAATCCACGACTGTTTGTGGGACACTGCTGTGCTCAATTGGCTGCCATGTTTCACTCACAAAATACACTTCACAATATATTCTGTGAAGCGCTTTGAGACGTCTCAAGACGTGATAAGGCGCTATATCAAATGCAAGGATTATTTATTATTATCACTCATTACGGATTGAGGGGAGAAGTGGATCTGGGCATTACAGCTGTATTTTGGAGTAGTTTGTAACCAATTCTTCAGGGTGCTCAGAGTTGTACAGTTGAGTAACTTCACCATTTCTGCTTGTAGCACAATTGCATTGTGATAGCAGATCTGCAGTGTTCCTTTCTGGCCCCATTCAGCAATGGCAGGAGTGAGGCTCCATTAAATTTTACAGCAAGAAACAGCCCATTTAATCCATCACATCTGCGAATGAGCCACTCTCAACAACAACAACTGGCCTTGAAGATAAAGATGAACCCAGGGAATGGGTGCTGAAGGAACCTTGAAAGTCAATCCACTAGAATTATAGAACAATCTTTCAATTTGTGGAAATAGAAACTGACTTCGGAAGAAATTTACTCCTCAAACTCTATCATCCTAAAGCTTGATTTAAAAAACACATGCTCTTCAACCTGTTACTCCAGATTTGGAGCTTGACTAGTGGATGATCTATTTATGTTTACTTTATCATGACCCTTCCTAAGCTTGAAAACTTATTTCAGATCTTTCCTTAATCTTCTCAGTTTAATGAAAAGACCTTTACTCATTTTTTATAACTGTCATTCTTCGCTGATAAAATGGACGAATGGTCCTCCAACCCTTGGCAAAGTCCTTCAGTCTGCCACAGCAGATGGTTACCTTTCAATTCTCATTCTCTCTGTGAGATAACTCAAAGGTATTGGCTGTATTTTTTGTGTGGCAGAAAAACAACTATTACCAATGTTGCAATATGTTAGTTTTCAAATTTATTTTAAGGTCTCAGTTGCTTTTTGCTTCCCACCAGCATTTCAGCCAGCGCCAAGTCCATTTAATCTATGGTCCTAATAGCTTGTGTGCCAAACAGAGGGAGGGAGAACTTGATGGGGGGTAAGATAAGTGGAATCTTCTCTTTAATGTTCTCTTGCAAGGTCTCTGATTTGAAGCAGCGAACATGACTGTTTTCTGAACCGAAACCCTCACCCACGGATTCGTCACCTCAAGGCTTGTTACGGGAACTCCCTCCTCATCAGCCTTCCCAACTCTTCCCTTCACAAGCTGCAGGTCATCCAAACTCTGCAGCTCGTGCATTCTCACGCACCAGACTCTGCGACCCCATCACTCCCACCCTCGCCCAACTCCACTGGCTCCCTATCCCCCAGAGGATCGAGTTTAAGATCCTCGTCCTCACCTTTAAGCCATCCATGTCCTTGTCCCCTCTTACCTCTCTGACCTGCTGACTCCCTACCAATCTGCCCACTCCCTCCGTTCATCGGGCTCCAGCCTGCTCCATGTCTCCCGCCCGATCCGCCCTACCGTCGGTGGCCGGGCTTTCAGCCTCTCTGCCCCCACACTCTGGAACTCCATCCCACGGTCCCTTCGCCTCACTTCCTCCCTTGCATCCTTCAAGGCCGGTCTCAAGACCCTTCTCTTCAACCATGCCTTTGGTCTCCCTCCCACCTCTCTGCCTTCCCTCACCCCTACACCCCCACTCTCCCATGCTCAGGCCCCGACACCTGACTGTTCAGCGCTTTGGGATGTCCTCCCAACATGAAAGGCTTTCTATAAATGTAATTTTGTTGTTGTTGTTGTTGTTATTGGGCTGCCTTTAAACTTTCAATTGACCTCAATGTTAACCCCTTCTCTCTTTCAATTCCCAGGCAATTCATGAGCAACAGTTTCTCTTAACATTTCAGCACCGCTGGGTTCAGGAATATGACTACAGAGTAGAACACAGTACAGACCACAGAGGGTTAGCTCGATTCTGGCATTCTATTGCCAGTTCCTCTCCAAGGAGACCCTGATTACTAGGATGTTCACTAGTTGGTCATTTGACATTAAAAAATAGTGGTAGTTTGTTTCCCCCAGAGGTACCTTATTTACCTTTCCATGCTGCTGTTCTGTACAAATATAAAATGTCAAGGTGGGAGACGACTGCTTGATTGTCTTTGGGATTCTAGTAGGGATTTGTTGTGTAAGTGTTGTCTGTTCATCTCATTCAGGAAATTAATGAGTTAAGGAATCCACAACAGTGCAAATTGCCATCAGAGCGCTGGAGAAACAAGCATATTACTTCCAGACATTGTTTTTAAGCAGCCTATCACTCTTTCTCTTTTCTCCTTTCCCTTTCTCTCCTGTGGGAAAACAGCAAAAGGCTCTGTTTGACACGTCGGTTTGACAGTGTGACTTGTGGGCATTTGCTTGTAGGATTTCTGCAACTTAACTGCTTCACGGCACAGCATGCTGGGGACACCTGGATGCTTCATCTCCAAGTGTGTTAAATTTCTCCCTGTTGTGCCCCCCTGAGCAAGTGTGTGGAGGAACTATCATTGAAATATGAATTCATTTATTCACAGTGCATACAACCTCGTCCCAAAAGACCAAGGAGCTTAAGAATCTATGAGGCTCATGTTGGAATTGCATCGCCTGAAGGAAAAATAGCTTCTTATACAAACTTCACACGAAATATGCTGCCTAGAATAAAAGATCTTGGTGAGTTCTTGCATACACTGATTGTTTCCTCGCTGCTGGATTTTAAGTTTACCAAACAAATTGTACTTATAATCTATTGCACCTTTCACAGAAGGGCATGTCTCAAAGTGCTTACAACTATAGAAATTTTAGTGATGATTGGCTCATTTTGGTGTGTGAGTGTTTGCTTCTCGAGATAGCTATCCATTCTAATTCCAATTCCCTCCTTTTCTCCGGCAACGGAGTGTCGGAATCGAGCCAGCCATCTGTGAGGGTCCCTGGTCCAGTTCCTGAGCCAGGCGGGGGGCCACAGTACTCTTGGGCACTGCTGATGACAACACAGCCAGCCTGGCTCATCGACGGGACCTGGAAGGACAGATCAGTCACTGGGGGCAGGGACTCTTTCCCCCTCAGCTCCCTTTAATTCTGCAATCCAAAGGGTAGGGTGCTCCTAGCTGGACAAGAAGAAAGGATGGGTGGAGGCCATAGAAGGAAGTGGAGGTTGGGAGGGGGTGGCAGTAAAAAGGGCAGAAGCAGCAGAACGGATCCTTTTGATTTTGGACCCGAGGAAGTCCATCAATCTCCTCACAGTGAATTTATATTTCAATGGAGGAGGGAATGTGTGGAACAGAGGAAGGTGGTCAAAGGAGCTGGTTCATGGTGGAGAAGAACCTGGGGTTGCCCTTGTCCTCCAGGATGATTCTGGAGTAGATGGATGATTTGGCTGAGGCAAGAGTGGAGCGGTAGATTCTGGCAATGAACCATTAGATTGGATTTGAGTCAGGTGGTTTTGGCAGCACGGACCTGTCACTTGAGGGATTAGAGGTGGCTGGTGTACCAGATGAACTTGCAGGAGGTGAGTGGAGGTAAGGTATCGAGGGATATTAGTGAGTAAAGATTAGAGAGTACGCAGTCAGGCTGAGTAGAATTAAAGCAGACTGTTGGGGCAGAGTCGAGGGTGAAGCTTTCCCTTGATTTAAATTGTTTAGTCCTAATATGAAGAAGCACTGCTGCGCTTTTGGTCAGCATTGAACTAAATGAGGTGCAATAGATGAACATGAAAGAAATGGTAGTGCTTCCCCTCCAGAGTCAGCTTACTCCTGTCATATGCAATTGTCTGTGATTGTCTTTAGTTCAGCAGAAAATTAGTTATTTGATACTTCATAGTATTATACAGCACAGAAGGAGGCCATTTGGCCCATCGTGTCTGGGCTTTTTGAAAAGAGCTATCCAATTCAATCCCACTCCCCAGCTCTCTCCCCGTAGCCCTGCAAACTTGTCCTCCCCAAATAATTATCTACTTCTCTTAAAAGTGTTATTGAATCGGCTTCCAACATCCTTTCAGGCAATAAGTTCCAGTTTCGAACAATTGGCTGTGCAAAAAAAATTCTCCTCACCTCCCCTCAGTTTCTTTTAACAACTATTTTAAATCGGTGTCCTCGGGTTACTGACCCACCTGCCAGTGAAAATAGTTTCTCCTTGTTCACCCTATTGAATCCCCTCATAGTTTTGAAAACCTATTAAGACTACTCTTAAACTTCTCTGCTCTAAGGAGAATAATCCTAGCTTCTCTAGTCTTTCCTGATAACTGAAGTCCCTCATTCCTGATACCATCTTGGTAAATTTTCTTTGCACCCTCTCGAATGCCTTGACATCCTTCCTAAAGTGTGGGGCCCAAGTTGAACACAGTACTCTAGCTGAGGCCTAACCAGTGACCTGCTTATTTAACTACTTGTTGAAATGGTTATCAGACTGTTGACAAGATTAGAAGCTGGGGGTGGGGTTGGGAGGTGGAAGAAACCTCTGGAGGTTCTTGAAATTGCAAACTTGCTGGCTTAGACCTCAAATCAGCTGCTTCAGCTCTTTCTTGTGCCCCCTCCAAGTGTTTGGAAAATTGAATCTTCCTGGAAAAAAAAATATTCTCCTTAGAAATTTGATGGTAAGGAAGTCAGCGCTCATTTTTATTGTCTTTTCAACACTGTCGCAGATTTCAGTGAGCTGCAACTGTTATTTTGACGATTGTTAAAGCCATGCTCCATTTGGATTTTCCACTGCTTTAATATCTAAAGTTTCAATGGTTTCCCCAACAGCCTGGGTTTGTCNTTTTTTTACACAACACTTATTAAGCTTATTTTTTTCTTTTGGATGCGGTGAAGAAATGTGTGACATAATGAGTGGGAATATGTTGCAGATGGAACTGTGGCAATTTGCAGAGACCAGTAAATAAATCATTTCTTTCACTGCTGCTTGTTAATTATAGGAGCTCAAAATTGTACTGTTTCGACTAATTAACCAGTTTGGGACTTATTTGGCAAAGGTGCCAATTTTATGTTTTTCAGAGTTTGTGGGCAGGATCTGGAGTGCTTCCAGGAACTAGAAGAAATTGATGGGTTATTTCTGTATTGGTGTGACAAAGGGAATTTATCTACAGTTATACATGTCTGACTGCATATAGTACCTGACCTCCAACTCCCAACAGCACCCATGAGTCCAGCACTCTGCTTGTTACCCAACATAGCTGCTAACGGGTTGACTGAGTGTGACAGAAATTTATATAAAATCATAGAATTTACAGGACAGAAGCAGGTCATTTGGCCTATTGAATCTAGTCCAGCTCTCATAAAGAGAGTCCATCCGCACATCCTTTCCCTTTCCCCATGTGCCTTTATATTTCTGTTTCAAATATTTGGCTTATTCCTCTTTGAAAATCAATTGTAAGGTAAGTGCCAGTTGTGCTCAAAATGTTTCGAATCCCCGTAAACCAAGATGGTCCTGAGCTGGATTAAGACTTAAGCCAGAAGTCAGGGGAAAAGCACCGTACCCCAATATTATATTGATTTCATCCTTCAGAAGGGGCCTTTCAGCCTTCAGGAAGGATGAAACCAATATCAGTATAATCCTGGGTCCAATGCTTTGGTCGTTCACCAACTCTGCTGCCTACCCATTATAGCATCAAGCAATTCATAAGCTGAGTCCCAGTGTCCTTGCTGTAATACCTTTCTTGGTAATGTGGGGGAAAAAAACAAAGTGAGGTTATTATTATTATTTTAGTACAGTGGAAGCCTGTTAAGCTGGACACATTGGGGTCGGCCGTTTTGTCCGGGTTAAGTGGCGTCCGAGGAAACGAAGTTCCATTACCTCTTTCCGCCCAGCAGTGGAACGGTGGTGGTGCCTTCTCCCTCTCATTGCCATTCTGATAGGAAGGGAAGGGCATCAATTAGCGACGTCTCCGAGGTGATTGACAGCCTTGGAGCCGCTTGTAAGTGGAATGTGAAACACCAGAGCAGTCCAAAGAGCTGAATGGTCCGTTTACACCCCACACTACATTTGAAGGCCTCGAGATCTGCCAAACACCAGCATTGCTTGCCAAGCTCACCAGTGTCCTGACTGCAGGCTTCAGGAGAACACTACCTCCTGCCTCTCGGGGCCATCCATCACAACCAGAAATGGAGACCAGGAGAGAGACACGCTCACAGACAGACACTCGCAAACAAGGGAGAGAGAGACAGAGACACTCATAAACAAACATACAGAGGGGAGACACACACACAGCGAGGAGAGAGGCACACAAACCCAATCTCAACAGCGGGGCCTGGGGATGAGTGAAAGCCATTTCACGCTTGCACCGCACAGCGCATACGCTTCCAGAGCTGCTCCGCTCACAGTCGCAGCATTGAGCGAACAGCCAGCAGGAGCGTGGTTTTTACGGGTTTGTAGCCAGAAGGGTGTGTGTATGTAGCAGAGGGGGTATTTGTGGTGGATGGGGCATGTGTAGCGGAGGGTGGTGTTTGTAGCGGGGTGGGTGTAGTGGATGGGGGGGTTGTAGCGGAGGGTTTGTCTGTAGCGGAGGGTTTGTTTGTAATCTAAAACAATAATAATCCTTGCATTTGATATAGTGCTTTCCATGTCTTCGAGACGTCTCAAAGCGCTTCACAGAATATACTGTAAAGTGAATTGACTATATTTGTGGGCAAAACAGAGTAGCCAATTGCGCACAGCAGCATCCCACAAACAGTCATGGAATGAAGTGACCAATTTATTATTGTTTTTGTTTTTCTTGAGAGATTATTATCAGGTGTGTGGAGTTAGGAAACTTGACCAAGGTTTCGACCTGCTGGGAATTGAACCCAGGTCTCTTGTTTGCGAGGCAAGTGCTCTAACCACTGAGCTACAGGATTCCAAGTAACGGAGGGTTTGTTTGTAGCAGAGGGGGGCGTTTGCAATGGAGGGGGGCGTTTGCAATGGAGGGGCGCATTTGTAGCAGAGGGGGCATTTGTAGTGGATGGGGTTGTTTGTAGTGGAGGGGGGCGTTTATAGGGGATGCCACAGAAAAAGTGTGGCCGCATTTTTCTATTGGCCCAGGTTATGGGGAAAGAGCAGGGGAATAGGATTAGTGTAGAAAACTCCAGTGAAGGAGCTAGAACCAGCACAGACCCGATGGACCGAATGTCCTTTTACTGTGCTGTAAACATTACGTGCGCAGTTCTGCACAGTATTGCGCTCTGAGACGCTACCCTGCGTGGAGGATGCTATGTAAGTGCAAGTTGTTGTATTGTGTCATTTTATTACGGCACTCATGCAGGGGCTGGAAAACTTGACTAAATTTAATAAGTTCAAAACAAACCATTTTGGGCGAAGTGTTGGCGGTGTTTAATTTCTGCCGTTTGGAATGTACTAATGTTCTTGGAATTTGGTTGGGACACTTGCCAGTGGGTCCGTTATTTGAAGTCGGTTCATAAGCACATAGGCTGGCATAATGAAGCTTCTCATTATGCACAGTGCCTCCTCACACCTTCTCTGAGATGTGCTGATGGATTGCCGAGCTGCTGCATGAAAGATTTTTTTTTTAAAATGAATAATTTGCTTCTTGAAATGAAGGCTCTGCAGTAACCAGAACAATTACAGCAGTTTCGAAGCAGTGATAAAGTCTCATTGTGATGAAAACAAAGTCTCTGTGTTTTTAAAGTATTGTCTCCAGCTTCTTGTTGCTGCTTAATAATTGCAGATTGTTTCTGTAATTG